CTCTTATTTTCGCTTCTTTTTAAGGAGATATATTTTTAAATAGTTATTGAAAAAACTTACTACAATTCTTTTATTTCTGATTTTCTTTTAAATTTAGTAAGGCCTTCTTCTTTTCCTTATAATTCTTCGAGTTTTTTTTTTTAAAAAAAAAAAAAGGCTAAAAATAGTACCTAAATTCTTTAAATTATTTCTTTTTAGTCGCCCTAAATATTTAAAGAAATCGAATCTTTATCTCTCTAAGCTACCTAATATAGAACCTTTTTTCTATATAAAATTCGCTTATTTAATCGAATTTATACTAGGCGAATTACTAGGTTATCTATAATAAATTCCTAGCTATAGAAAGTAAGAAACTTAGTTAAATTTAAATATCCCTAATTTTCGTAGGTATATTAAGGGTATATATAAGTTATAAGCCGTTTTATAATAAAAGGATCTAATAAATATTAGTACATTTTCTTAAAAAAATAAAAATAGGAGTATATCTTCTTTTTTTTTTTAAAAAAAAAGCGAATTAGGAGTATAACTTATTTTAAAAAAAAATAAAAGAATAGGAGTATATCTTCTTATACAAAAAAAAAAAAAAAAAAAAAAAAAAAAAAAAAAAAGCGAAAACATACCTTTCTTTTTTAAGATATATATCTTAAATAGATAGCTATTTACTACTAGATTATAGTAAATATAGTACGATATTTTCGAATCGCTATATTTTATTTTCTATAGTTCTCCTCGCTAGTTAATATAGAATAAGACCTATTTTCTTACCTTTTCTATAGTTAAAAACTTAGTTCTAATTCAAAATAGCTCTATAGTCGATTTTTTAAATTAAAAAGAAATAAAGTTCCTAGTATTTATATCCTAATATTAGGCGCTTATCTAATTAAACTAAATATTAGGCGTCTAGTACTAAGTTTCAGAATTATAATTATAATTAAACTATATAATTATTCGCGTATTTTAAGTTCTAGAATATAGATCCTAATTAAACTAAATATTTTTATAAAATTTAAGTTTTAAGAATCTAAACTTAATTAAATTAGATAATAATAGCGTAATCCTAATAAATAAATATATATTTTTATTTAGAATATATTCGTTTTTTTAAGAAGATTTTTTTTTGAGAATATATATAATTTTTTATAAGAATATATTCTATTTTTTATAGGTATATTAATTTTTTTTTAAGAATATATTCGGTATTTTTAAGAACCTATTTATTATTTATAGTAATATATTTTCTTTAAAAAAATTACTAAGATATATAATTTTTTTTCGAAGTAATTTCTAAGATATATATATATATTTTTTCTTAAATATATTTCTAAGGTATACGCTTTTTTTTTTTCGCTTAATTTCTAAGATATATATATTTTTCGATTTTTTTTTTCTAAGATACATATATTTTTTATAGTATACTATAATATATATATTTATAAGCGAAATATATAAAAAAGTATATATCTTAGAGAGACTTTTTTTGATATATATATCTTAGAAATTTTATAAAAAATATATATATCTTAGTAAATAGCTAATAAATAAAACTCTATATATTTTAAAAAGACTTTTTAGATTTATATATTTTAGAAAATATTTTAAAAAAATTATATATTTTAATAAATATCTAAATTAAAATAAAAGATATAAAAGTAATATTATTAAGTAATACTTTAGAAGAGAAAAAAAATTTAGAAATATTTTTTTTATATAAATATATTTTTAAAATAATTTAATAAAGAATTTTTTAACTTTTTCTAACTAAAGCTTTATTATATTCTTATTTATACTTTACTAATATTTAAAATTGGATTAATAATTACTTTTTCTAGTAAAAAAAAATATAGCCTATAAATAGTATAGAAGAGAGTTTTAATATATATATATATAATATTTAAATAAAATTTTAACTACTATTTATATAAAATATATTTATTTACTTATTTATTTTAAAATTAATTATCTCTATTATAAATAGTATTTTTTTTTAAAAAATTTATATATATTTAATTATAGTATATAATTTATTATAAAATTTTATTACTTAAATAAAAACTATATCTAAGCTAATAAATTAAATATAATTATAAGTAAGTTATATATAGTTATATATATTATAATATAAGTTACTAACTATTATTTTAATTTTATTTAATTATAATTAAATTAAGAAAAATTAATTTATTTTATAATATTACTAAAAAGCTTTTATATACTAGTAAATTTCTTCTATAAATATTATATATATTAAAAAGCTATTACTAGTAATTATTTATAAATTTTATATATATTTTATATTTCTATTAGTATTTTAAGAAAATTATTTTTTCTATAGCTTATATTACGAAGAAGTTTATTTTTAGTAAGAAAGCGTATAATAACGCTAAGCTCCTACTAAATTTTAAACTTAGAATAATTTTAAAAAAAAAGAGAATAGTAGTAGGCTCTATAGATAACTCTCTATTCTATTATAAAAAATCTAGTAAGATTTTATATAGTAGTCTCTACCTACGCTTAGTTAAAGTTAGCTTAAATTAGTAGGCTACTTTCTTACTAAAAATAAACTCCTTCGTATTATAATAAAAACTATCTTACTTATATTTTTATTTTTAGTAAAATTCTTATTACTTAGTAAGCTCTTTAGATTTTATTTTACTATTAAAATATTAAGGCTGTTTATTAATAATTTTATTTTAGTCTTATATTTTATTTTATATTCTAATAAACTTATTTTATCTTATCTCTTTATTTAAATTATACTCTATATCTTAAACTACTTAGTTGTATTTTCTTGATTTTTTTTCTTATCATTTTACTAATGACTGAGGTAACGGTGAAGGTTATCATGCGTAGTAGATTGTGTCGATGACGGAGTACGGCGCTTGAGTCGTGTAAAAAGTCCATTCCCGAAACCACCGACAAGGATATTCATTCGTTCTATTCTACTCTTTGCACTGACAACACTCAACACCCACACCCTTACCGTAAGGAAACACTCCCTCGGCGCTGCGCTCGTTTCATCTTCGACAATCATCGCTCCTTTATCCCAGTCGAGCTCCCAGCATCACGCGCGAACCAGCGCGCAAAGCCTCTGATTCTTAATGGTACTTGGCCGTGTGGCGGAGTACTTCACCCTGTCCGGCGCGACAAAGGCGGATTACGTGAACCATGAACGGGACGAGCTTGAGGTGGACCTTGGAGATCCGCCATCCATCGACAGGGATCCGGTAGAACAAAACACGATGGACCTGGAAGCGGCTCGGACGCCGTACAGAGATGTGAGGCCGCACCCACATTGCAAGCGGATACAATGGCTGACCATCCGCATTATAGGCAATTCTTGCAGGAGGCCTTGGCGGCTGCACTGGAGATATGCTCATGCATTCGCTGGATACCATCAAAACCAGGCAACAGGGTGATCCCCATATGCCACCCAAGTACACCTCTATGGGCTCAACATATTACACCATTTGGCGGCAGGAAGGCATCAGACGAGGTCTTTATGGAGGCGTAACGCCCGCGTTTGGTGGATCACTGCTCGGGACGATGATATTTTTTGGCAGTTACGAGTGGACTAAACGGTGGATGGTTGATATGGGCGTTCCTTCGCCAATTGCCTACTTTAGCGGAGGTGCGTCACTGCTTGGTTTCTTAGGGCGTGTTGTCTCCGTTGCTGATGATTCTTGCAGGTTTGGTAGCTGACCTGTTCGCCGCGCCGGTCTACGTCCCATCCGAAGTCTTGAAGACGCGACTTCAACTACAGGGTCGTTACAATAATCCGTACTTCAATTCCGGCTACAATTATCGCAACACAATTGACGCGGCCCGAACAATTGTCCGGACAGAGGGCTTTTCTGCTCTTTTCCATGGATACAAGGCTACATTGGCCCGAGATCTTCCATTTTCGGCTTTGCAGTTTGCGTTTTATGAACAAGAGCAGAAACTGGCAAAGGCTTGGGTTGGGTCGAAGGATATTGGTCTAATTCTAGAAATCCTGACTGGCGCCAGTGCTGGAGGCTTGGCTGGTGTCATTACGTGCCCGCTTGACGTTGTCAAGACACGGATACAGACGCAACAAAATCCTGAGGCGGCCCAAGCGTTTCAAAGAACGGCTCAACATCAACATAGTACAAACCTGTCCGGCACCCATGCCGCCCCTGCATCCGGTCCCACGTCCAAGCACACCACCTCTGCCACCCCAGGTCCCGGGCAACTGCCTTCCGAGCAGTCGAAGCGCGTCATCTCTACCTCTTCGCCCTCAACCTCGTTGAGACAACACTCTGCCACTACGCTAGACACTTCATCTCTCATGAAAGGCTTGCGGTTGATCTACCAAACAGAGGGCGTCTGGGGCTGCTTCCGTGGGGTGGGCCCGAGATTTGTGTGGACCAGCATCCAGAGCGGCACCATGCTTGTGCTCTACCAAACGTTACTGAAACATTTTTCCAAGTCTAGAGACTCCCAAGACTCTCAAGAATAGATATAGACTTTCCTAGCGTGAGTAAAACTTAGACATTAGCGGTGTCTGGTTTATGGACGTCGGAGGCAAAGAACAGGTCCCCAGCTGTAAAATACGTTTCCATTTCCCTGGACCCATGGTTTGTTTTAGCATTGGGCGGCGTTTGTATACTATCAGTCGGGTTACATGGTTGTGAAGAGTCATAGATCGCACTGTCAATAGAGAACAAGGCTTAACCGCTCCGCTCCTCCTGAGTGCCCTTGACGAATCCATCAAACAACTCGCTCGAGATATAGCCATATCTTGAAATTCGGTTCAGTAAGTCCTTACCGGGTTTGAAAGATAAATGACTTACTGATACTCGTATATCGCTTTGTGAAAGGTTCGTCCTCAGTTGTCATGGCCGCTTGGTCTCTACTGTTGGGTATCCTGTTTTAAGTACTTCGGGTGTTAATCCAGTTCTCAGGCATTCCATTTCTCCAAAAGCCCCCCTCCGAGAACCGCCACTATCAATGCAAAGACAACAACACGTGGACGAGTGTTCTAGGTGCATTTGATAAACTGGTATGTTTTCAATGGAAGCCTTAGCAGTTAAGACGGCTTTGCCGGTATCCATCGACGACATCGTTTCTCTAGGAGTACCTAAGATGATAGCAGTGTTGATGAACGTGGGGAAGTATCCCTGTCCAGATGTTCCCAAACATCCCGATTGGCTGGGACCAGTAGACAGCGCGGGTTAGCGTGTCCGACAGGGGGGATTTCGCCTCCTGTCGAGCTTTTTTCTTAAGCGCATCCTAAAATTCGCCTCTACGGCATACAATCAAAAATACAACATATCTAATAAGGCATACCAAAGACGAGCAGATGATGTTCGGCAGAAATGCGAGAGAGCAGCGGTACTGCCCGTCTCTTCCGGAGGAGCTGTGGGATATGATCGCGGCGCAAGCTGATCATAAGACGCAGAAACGTCTCCGTCTCACTTGCAAGTGGTTCAACAGGCTTGCAACGCCATACTGTTTCCGCGAAGTCCATTTCGACATGCTGCAAGACAGTCTGGAACGGATGATCAATATTGCGTTGGACAAGACGCTTTCGCAGTACGTGGAGACACTTGTGTTCCGACCCCGTGAACTTCGGGCTCCCGGAAGCTTCAAGGAATGGAAGGGGAAAATCGAAAGATTCGTGGGTAAGTTTGACAGTTCCATGTGGCAACGCATTCGTTTTACCCAAAGTCAGTGATGATTTAACTGACGAAATCAGGTAATGATCCTTTGCTTCTAGCGGGAAGTCCACATGGCACTCTGCAAAGCCCATACAGTACTTCCATGTCTGACCAGGAGTTGCGCGAGCTGTATGACTTGTACAAGGCTGATCGCGAGGCACCCATGCAATTTCTCGACTGCTATTTGGGCCGAGAGCGGGAGTCCAAATCAAACCCGATGGTGCTTCTGGGTAGTTGGTTTGACCTTGCAATCGAAAACCTCCATCAGCTGAAGACTTTTGAGGCAATACCAGACCCCGATGACTGTGTGTGGCGGGGAATCCAGTTTCTCTCATCTTATCCCTGGACTGCGCTGGACTCGGAGGCCCAAGCGCACCTAGCATGTATTCTGGTGGCCCTAGGACGATCCTCTACCAAACCCAGGTCCATGGTCTTTAACACCATTGGGGGTGCATTTTGGGGTGAAGAAAACCTTGAATTTCTCTGGGGCGAGATTCCACTCAGTGAGCAGAAGTTGTTCATCAGTGATACCCGCAGCGGACAAATTGAAACAAGTCCGTACTGCGCGCAAATTTGGTGGATGAAGCAAGCCTTCACAAACATTACAGATCTGGAATTTTCCGTGGAATGCGACGAAAATCTCTTCCATGGAATTGTCCGACCACTTGCAGACTGCCTTCGTGCAGCCGGAAATCTCGAACGACTTGTCTTTGCATGCAAAGCCGACAGCGCGTCCACTCTTGAGCGTCCCGAATGGGATATTCTTTCTCAGCTTGAGGAAGTTCAATGGCCGAGGTTACGCCACCTACATATGGAACTTTTGACAACTGAAAAGTCTCTAACCAGGTTGCTCTCTCACATTGCTCCTACTCTCCGCTATCTCAGCCTTGCTTATGTGCAAATTTTGCCGTATCAAGGTAAGTGGGAGCGCATTTTCAACCACATGGCCAATGTACTATCATTGGATGAAGTTTGCCTCGTGCAGCTGAAAGACTATGAGGCTTCCAGAAGAGAAGAAAGTGACTTCCGGACGTTGTTCAACTTGAAAGACCTCCAATACAGTCTCAATGAAGAGGAATCCGATGAACAGAAAGGTTCCAAAGCAGATGCGTATGGGCATTACGAAAGAGAGGTCTACGATTACATTTTGAAGAAAGTCGATGTAATCCCCACGTTTGATCAAGAGTCGTTCTATGTGAAACATCTGAAAGACTGTGCATGGTGCATCATGCATCCAGCCAAGCTTGTTTACGAGAACGAGGACTAGAATTGTTCAGGAGTGAGGAGGGTCAGAGTAGAAGTGGTGCTTTAAGACACATAGACGTTAGAGCATTAGACTAGATTAGGATAGAACAGAACAAATAGATGGCAGGAGCCAACTGTAGAACATCCACCGCACTCAGGTTCTATAGCGGAAACGAAAGACATGTATCCTCCAACGCCATACAGCAAACAGAACGCTCAGTAAGCCTCCAGACAATTTCCACAAACTCAGTCCCCACGCTCACAAAACATATCGCCCAAAAACTTTGAAACCCCGCCTGCTAATCAATCCTGCTCTGTCCAATGTACAGGCTTGATTTCGATAACTTCTTCTGTTTCTCTCTGCCTTTTCAATTCATGGCTCCTCTTTCGCCATGAATCTCGACGTTCCACAAATGCCATCCTTAATGTCTTTGGACATTGCTTTATCTTTTGTCCCAACAGGGTGATTGGGGATTCCTTATTGTGGTTGACCATTGTCTCATGTGTAACAGGCGCCGAACAGCGCATACAGGCTTGACACATCTGACACCCGTGGGAGTTGCTAGTCGCTGTTGATACTAGCGAGATAGGTGGCGTGGCAACGGTTGTCGGTGAGACAGGAGGAGATAAGAAGCGGTGTGGCGTGCTGCTGGCGCTGGAAGATGACGGACTTCGCGGAAGCCCGTGTGGAGAGAGTGGTGCGTAGCGTGGGGCGTTTTGATAGGGAAGAAGCAAAGAAGTATACGGCTCGGACGGGCGAGGAGAGATGGGCCCATATTGTGATGGTGAACGGCTCATGGCTTAGAGGAGAGAGAAACAAATGAAAAAAGAGTTTGAGTAACGATTGTCTATGTCGATGTTGCAGGGCGAGGGTCAGACATATAGTCTTCGATACGATGGTTTGTATAACAGCTTGGTAGTAGACGACACTGATAATTTGTGACCAGAAGATGAATTGAAAGGCATAAATCTAAGCGTCGGAAAATATACCACCTTTATGTCTCTGCTACGCCGCCATGGTTCCTTCGCCGCTCTCGCTAAGTGTTGAGCAAGGTACGCAGCCGGAATTACCGTTTTAACAATCTTGCAGCGGAGATGTGGGAATCTACAAGCCAACACGCAAAATAAGCAATAGGCAACAGACAAAACTTCATTATCCCTGGCCGCTTCTCCACAAACGAGGCATCCATGCACCCGTATCTGTACCTTTATCCGCCCTGGGGTAGGCACCGGCCGTGATACGGTCAAACAACCCGCCGACTGGGCCCGGGATCTCGATCCGACGGACACCATAATAATACAGTGGGTTTTGACCAATGCTCTTTTGGCAATGCCGCTGTGCCTCAGAGCGGTGACTGATGATGTGTTGAGGGTTGAGGCTGAGTGGATGTTGGTTGCTGTGCCGCAGCAAACGCCAACACGCGACCCTGTTGTTCATCAACGACCAATGAAAAGCATGGAATTTAAGATAAAGATGGAAACTTCTGTGCTGTGCAGACGGATGAGGAGTTTGGTCCGTAATGCCGTGCTTGGTTTTTGCAGCGGAGTGTACTGAGCGCGGCATGGACTCCGCAAATCAAAGTGTGAAGAAACACGGGAACTCCGCGTGAATCCATTCGATCTGCAACGGCGCGCGTGTTTGAGCCACACGGCAGTTGGTTGGCCAACAGACGCCGCGTGTGCGGCACGGCTCTGACGAGGGTTCTTGCGGCGTAAATAGATGCGAACTGACCGCTTGGAAGCTCAGCTGATAGCAGGAAAGAAGAAAGTAACAGATAAACCACATATGGAATAGGGTGTCCACTCCTACTCTTGCCTGCGTGATGGTAGATACGACGAGCAATGCCCTTCGATTACTGCCGTACATCGCGTCCGTACTCCTACCCCCACTAGAAAGGAGAAATTTCTCATCAATGCTGGATCGAACATACTAAAATACAGCACCGATGTGTGCATCAAAAGGTCCGTAATTTCCGGGCAGGGAACATCTAATCCCATGTTCCCAATAATCCATGCCCAAAGTCCCGCAAAGAACGCCTCTACTCGTGTCTTCCTGACCACGTCCATTCATGCAGCTTCCTCGGTTCCGAACATTTTGCTCAAATCTCATGACTCTTGAACCCCTCATCTCCCTCGCCCAACGGCTTGGCTTCTCCACTATCCTGTTCACCTACCTTCTTCACTCCCAGCGACTCGCCGAACGCATCTGATCCGTTCACCGCTTCCGTGACGACCTTCTGACCTTCCTCAGGACTCAAGGTGCAGGCACGCTCGAACGCCTGCTCGACACTACGCATCCTCTTCTGGAATGCTAGACGGTCAAGGAACAATTGCTGACGGCGACGCTCTAAATCTCTGCGCTCGGCCGAGAGAACCGACTCAAGTTCGCTGAATTGTTGGAGCTTGAGTTGCATCTTTTGTAGCTCAATGTTGACAGCGCTAGAAACGAGACGCGAGATGGTACGCTCTTCGTGTGAAGCCATGGCAGCGGCACGGGCGGCGGAGAGAGCAAGAGGTACGGTGGTGAGAGGGTTAGAAGGCTTGTCTTGAGACGCAGCGCTGGCTTGTTGAGGGGTGCTCGTGTCAACGTCCATGCTATCTTCGTTCTTGACCTCAGTAGAAGCGGAAGCCGTCGAGTCGGCTGGTGCAGTTTCCTTCTCTTTACCCTTCTCGGACTCCGTTGGGGCTTCACTTTTCTCGAGTCTCTCCCGGAGCGCTCGCTTCATCTCGTCGACACTCTTACCCGCAGCAGCAGCAGTAACACTGGGATCGGCAAGGCCAGCCAAGAAACCCATTACCGACATGACGGCATTGTCAGCTTGTGTGAATGGCAGGCGGCCATTGCTCAAGTGGGCTAACGAGCCTCCGGAAATGTTCGTGTGGCTTCCGTTCTCCTCGGCCTCTAAGTATTGGTCTTCAATCTCCAGTTGCAAGAACTTGAGAACACATTCCTCTCTCGTACGACCACCAACATAGTCAGCAACAGAGTTCCAGTCTTCGTCGAACATTTCCAGTGCCTCGAGCAGGCGCAGCGTCTCTCCATCTGTCCAAGGGGTGTTCCTGTCAGGAACAGCTGAATATTTGTCGTTCTCAATCTTGGTGTAGTCAGAGGCACTACTGGACGCAGGAAAGCGGCCCTCAAGGAAGCAGTTCGGACACAGGTCGTACTTAAGCATGGCAGCAGTCTTTCCGGATGCCGAATGAGGAGCAGACTTGGTGTTGTGGTAGTGAACGCGCGTGCAGTCAATGCCACATGAAAAGCAGTTCACTTGCCTTCCCGGTTCCTTCAAAGCATCGACGAGAGACTTGCTGTCTGCAATTGCCCCGTTGGTGGCTGAAGAAGCTTCGCCATTTGCAGGTTTGTCTTTGGAGTCCGCAGGGGTGACTTCTTTGCCGTTTTGCTCATAGATGTTCCGGCGAATTTCCAGGTTTAGGTCACCCTTAGAAGCAGGAGTTTGGCTAGCAAGGCGTTCTGTAGATGCTAGAGATTTGCCAGGAGTCACCATGGAACTAGGCGCAGGCTGATGCGGTTGAAGTCCGCGAGGAGTGTCCGCAGTAATGCGGAAATGTCCAGTGAAAGGGGGTCCGATGTTAGAAGGCCTGGTGTCTGGATCGACCTGCGGAATCTGTTAGCACCGTAGGATTTGAAATCAGGCAAGAGGACTTACTTGATAGTTAATCAGGCCCCACTGCTCCAAGAACGCGTGCACTCGCATAATAGCGCAAACATCTCCAGCCAAATTGCGTCTGCATGCAGTAACCGTCAGGTATTCTGCAGGGTTCAGCCTATACGTGTTGACCATGAAGTCTCTGTAATCCTTGTAGACGGCCGGAGTCTTGCTACGGTTCCGACTGTTGAAGAACTCGGGCAAGGCCTTTCGTTCAATGTTGTGAATCTGATGCATGTCGAACCACGTGCTGTAGCTTGGAAGTATGATGGCGTGCGTTTGGGCAATGAGATGTGAGCGCGCTTGGTTTTCCAGAGCAGATTTTGTCTGCTGAGGGTGGTCCACCGCAGTTTCGGGAGCCTCTGTGCCCTCTTTGCCCGGAGTAGCCGTTTCCTTCTTCGTATCATCCATGCCGCCCATCTCCTCGTCTTCTGCAGCCTCTGCATCCTCATTTTCGGGCCTTGGTCCCTCTGGTGCATCCAGAGGATTATCGGATATGAGACCGGGAGTAGCTTCGGCATCCTTCGACGCTGAAGCATCCTGTGCGTCCTCGGCCATTGCTGTGTCGATATCTACATTCAATAATTAGTTTATTGCGTCTCACCATAACATTCACGCACTCGGATAGCATGCTCCACAAGATCAGCCGAGGTGCCCAACGATAGCCCCAGTAAAGAATAGATGGTCTTTGACGAGAAGATGTGCCGTAATTGCTTGATAAGCCATCCAGTTTAGGTCCCCATGTCGAAGGTATGACAACAGCCCTGTAGCATTTCCTAGGGGAAATTGCAGAACTCATCTGCAAGGGATTATACGAGCCCAGAAAGATATTCCTTGTAACTTGGATTGGATCATCGTATATCTAGGATGATCAGGTCATTCTGTTCCGAAGATGTCTCGGTTGCAAACAATCGACGTAAAGAATGAGGATTGGAACGATCCTTTTAAACTTGGGGCCCCCAACATTGGTGGTCGAGTGGCCCCAATATGTTGACGAAGAGAGTGTGTTTTGCAGTGTTGACAAAGCAATGCTCCGCTCATATTAACACTCTGGGCTTCTTCGAAGAATGTTGTCGTCATGGTTCGCCCTCGGCATCCAGAAGCTGAGGGGCAGATTTCGCAAAGACGCGCGAGGCCTGGTATGATCTGACTCGGTATCCGCATGGCTGGACGGGAGACTCGGCGATCTTGGGAGCATGAAGGATGCGATGCATCACAAGACAGAGGCGATGAAAAGAACATTAGTGCAGACGTACCGTGAGTCTGTTCTGACGGATGCTCTGCAGTCGGGGCGTCGATTGCGATGTCCTCAGCTGCAGGCGCGTCCACGTCTTGCGCGGGTACGGTGGTACCTTCGGGGTTTTGAATCTCTTCGGCCATGACCGGTGTTGGGCAAAAAGGTTGACAGGCGCAATCGCCCTTGGGGTAGAGGCGCGTCGGTCGGAGCTCGAGGCGTAGACGGCGAAGTGTGAGACAGGCCGAACGCGTGCGCGGTAGATGAGTCGGGGGAGCGCGATTGCGATGGTGCCACTAGCTAGGGTAGGGGGGGGGGGAAAGAGCGGGGGGAATGGAAAGGCGATGGTCGTGATGCGCGTCGTGGGTGTGGACAGTCGTGAACTTCTTCAGCGCGCCGTTGGTCGCAACTCGGCGACGGCCGCCAAGCCCACTTGCCCCTATGCGGCTTAGCTCGGAAGCTCCAGTGGATAACCTCGGACAGCCGACAGTCGGAGCTTGTGAGGGACCTGCCCGTTGTCGCTCCCACTGTTTCTCACTGATCTCTCGGCCTCCGCACCCGTATCCCACCGACTCATCCCTTTCACAAACGCAATGTTCTCCGCTGTGCGCCAGACCGCGCTGCGGCAAGCGCGCACTCAGCTCAGACAAACCAGGCCCGTCACCCTACCCCACCAGACGCTTCTCCAGAAGCTACTCTCCACGCTCGCCGTCCTGGAACAGAGAGAGGGCAAGCTCAACGTTTCATCACTCGCTGCTGTCACGGCCGCGCAGAAGCTTGGTGGCCCGGTCACTGGTTTCGTTGCGGGTAGTGGGATAAAGGCAGTGGCGGACGAGGCTGCCAAAGTCAAAGGCCTGGACAAGATCATCTGTGTCGAGAACGGCGCATATGACAAGGGCTTGCCGGAGAACTATGCACCTCTGCTGGTAGAGAACATCAAGAAAGGTGGCTTTACGCATGTCCTGGCGGGACATTCCGCATTCGGCAAGAACCTCATGCCGCGCGTCGCAGCGTTGCTTGACACACAGCAAATCTCGGACATTACGGCTATTGAAAGCGAAGATAGTAGGTGACTCCAACGCCGGGTTGGCAGCCAACAGAGCCTAACTTGCCACAGCTTTCATCCGTCCCATCTATGCTGGCAATGCTATCCTTACTGTCCAATCTGCCGACGCGACTAAGGTCATAACAGTTCGCGGCACTGCTTTCCCCGCCGGTGAGACGGAAGGTGGCAAGGCCGCAGTCGAAGAGGGCGTTGACCCCAAAGCCGACGCTCCGACGGAGTGGGTGTCTGAGGACCTGGCCAAGTCCGATAGACCTGATCTTGCAACAGCCAGCAGGGTCGTGTCTGGTGGCCGCGGCCTCAAATCCAAGGAAGAGTTTGACCGCCTTATGCCTCCTCTTGCTGACGCCTTGGGTGCCGCCATTGGCGCGTCGCGTGCTGCTGTAGATGCAGGATTTGCAGACAATAGCTTGCAGGTGGGTCAGACGGGTAAGAACGTCGCACCGCAGCTGTACCTATGCGCTGGTATCTCCGGCGCGATCCAACATTTGGCGGGTATGAAGGACAGCAAGGTCATTGCTGCCATTAACAAGGACGCGGAGGCTCCTATTTTCCAAGTTGCAGATGTAGGCTTGGTCGGCGACCTTTTCGAAAAGGTGCCGGAACTTACGGAGAAGCTGAAGGCGCAGTCTTAGATGCGATAAGATACCTTTAGCGATGGGGTAGAGATGATGAAGACGATGCAAATCGAGAGTGAGGCGGGCATAGAAGCATTGGGCGCTGAGCTCTCTTGAATCTCCAGCGTGTATATAGTAGTGCATTTTGATAATTTTCAGTTTCATACCCGACCACGCCAACATGGAAAAACATATGACGAAAACCCTGCTAGGTAGTTTCTGGGGTTTGAGATCTGCACAGGGCTCTCATGCGGAGATCTTATCGAGATACCCCTTCACGTCATGCAGCTTACTGTCCAAGCTTTGCTGCCGCAACTCTAAGTTAGTCCTTGCGCCAGACCGACTCCTCACACTCCCACAACCTCGGTCCCAGGTCTCATGACGGCTTCACAACTCTCGCACCTCGAGGATGAACCCGTGACTCAAAACAAACGCACCTTCTGCTTGTTATGCCAATGCAGATTTTGATGTCAAATGTGCCAGCAACTATAACCATTCTCCACGACACTGGACCCAAACAGCTTGCCACCAAAAAAAAATATGGTGCTTGGAGACAGTTCATATGCCTTCCAACACCCATCTTTCACTGCCCTCCGACGACGGAGATACGCGGAGGCATGTGCCGTCGTCAACAGTGTCGAGTAGTGGCCAGCATGCAATTCGGTTCACAGAACCGCGCCGAGATGAAGCGGTCAGGAGGGAAAAATGGTGGGGAATTAACCTCTCACGGCGGAAAGGTTACAGGAAACGGTAATGCCATCGAACCAACGCAACAGTCTTCCTGCGTGTTAGTCTGGAGAGCAGAGCTAACTATCCCACAGTGAATGGTGGTTTGCCAGCACAGCAATCCCGTTCGTACACTAATACCTTAGTTTTTGCATCAACTGGCTGAATCCTGTTCTATTGTAGGCTTCTTGCGGCTACTTTCGGCCCGCTAGCTAACGTCCTTTCAATATCTGCACTGGTGACGAACTGGAGAATGCACCTACAGGTCAACGGGAAGATAGTGGCTGAACCCTATGGGGTCCCTTTTAAAGACCCAGAATGGTATGTTCAGTCATGTTCAGCTATATAACAAGTGGCGTACGGCTTTGGTATTATATTAAAGCGATTAATGCGTGTATGAGAAGGCTAATGCGGGCGGTACAGGTGTTATTGGATCAATGCAGCATCTCTTATCTGCGGCTTCATTGGAAATTTTTTCCTTTTAATGAACTTTACACAGAGAATCCGCTACCTCATATCGCTGCCAGCAACGATTGTTCTATGGTATATTGCCACTGGAATGGTAAGTATGCTTTAGTCAGCCTCAAGAATTATATTATTCTGCTCGTGTTGCTGATTTTATCTTTAGTTGACTGCAATAACAATTTGCATGGAGATATATAAGCCACCAAAGCAACCTCTCGAGGTCTACACCCAAGGATATTGGTACGCTGTTATGGCAGCAACTCTCTACTTTGTTTGCTCTATGCTCCTCATGATAAATATGGTCGGTTTTTGGAGAGGCTTTTACCCGGAAACATTCACTCTTACGGAGCCTCAGCGCATGTTGATTGTACAAACTATGCTCTTCTTCCTCTGGTTAGCTGGGGGCGGTGCGATCTTCTCTCACTTGGAGACTTCCGACGGCCAAGAAGGGTGGAGCTTTGTCAACGCTGTACGTATATCACTTCAACAACTATATTAAATAACCTGCTGATTATCTTTAAGTTATATTTCTGCGATGTGACCATACTAACCGTTGGCTATGGTGATCTTGTCCCTACGAACGACATTACCCGTGGACTGGTATTCCCCTATTCAGTAGGAGGTATCATTATGCTAGGTCTCGTCATCAGCAGTATCTATAAATTTGCCACAGACCTCGGTAACGACAAAGTCATCAAGAAACACATCAACAAAGTCCGATCCCGCACGCTGGAGCGCACCGTTACGTCTTCCATTGAACTCCAACATCGTGAACTTGGGGTAGGAGGACCTCAAACCAATCCGCGTCTCACAATTTCTGGTCCAATGAACCCAATCAAGCGAACTATCGCCCCGCGGAGCTCTTCAAGTAAGGAGAAACAAACATCAACGGGCCAAAAGAGACCCCGTCTACGTAGAGTCGTACCGCTGCACCCAATAGCATGGCCACGAAAGCCACGATTACTCCTCCTCCGGGAAGAAAAGGACCGGTTCGATGCTATGCGCAGTATCCAACGCTCGACAACACGTTTCAAGCGTCACTCCGCACTGATGCTTTCAATCTGCGCCTTTGGAATACTCTGGGCTGTTGGGGCCATCGCATTCTGGCAGGCAGAAAAAGAGACACAGGGCATGACTTACTTTCAAGCACTATACTTCTGTTACGTTTCTCTGCTAACGATTGGCTATGGCGATCTGGCACCAAAGTCGACTGCTGGTCGTGCTTTTTTCGTGGTTTGGAGTTTAGTCGCCGTACCCACAATGACGCTCCTTGTCAGTGCTTTAGGCGACACATTTATCGCAGGCTTCAGCAAAGCCTCGAACCGCATCGCTGACTTCACCGTATTACCTCAGTTTGGTATTTGGCGCAGTATTGTTGACAATAATCCGTGGCTACAACGTTGGTTGGGACGGAAGGAAGAAAGGAGAGAACGGCGAGAAAGAAAGAGGAAAGCTAAAGAGGGCATGCCCGTTGGGCCTGCAGAGGAAGCCACTGCCGATGAGAGTCGTGATATTGTTGTAGATGGGTCTCTCAGCCTGGAAACTCTAGCAAACGAGCGGAGTGTCGAAGCGATATTTGCTCGCCATCTACCGACTACTATCAAGCGTGTCGCGGATGACCTGAAGTCTGGCGAGCCAAAATACTATACGTATGAGGAATGGGTTGGATTCACTCGACTAATACGGTTTACAGTGGAGGGGACGCACGAACAGAATGAGGAAAGTTTGGTGGAGTGGGATTGGATCGGCGAAGACAGTCCGATGATGGGAGAAGATGGTGAGGCTGGATTTGTGCTGGATAGGCTGCTGGAGAGTCTGGGCCGGCTTCTGAGGAAGCGGGATGAAAGCGAGAGGGCCGAGGAGGTTGAAGGAGAGTGATAGCTGCTGAGCTAATCAGCAATCAGAGCATGCGGCAGATCTAAAGATGGAACTAACCAAGGACGGAATATACAACCGAGCCAACCAGCAACTCCGCTCCCCCCCATCCTTGTTCACCAACCGGCTCGCCTTGCGCCCGAAACGCGGAATTGCGGAACACCGTTTCCATACTCCAACCGTCGCCTGGATGGACCTACCGCATTCGACATGGACGAGGCCAGTATAAATAGACTGACCTTGGTGAGCTTCATCCCGCCACCGCTACCTCGACAAACACCTTGATTTTTCGTCTCGCCATGGCCCGTCACCCTTTGGAGATCCTCTCGGTTGAAGAAACTGCAAGAGCACGGGATGTCATCCTTGGCCTGCACCCAGACAAAGTGGTTGATTTTAGGGAGATCTTCCTGAAGGAACCGGCCAAAGTAGAGCTGAAGCGGTTCCTGCATCTCGAACACAGTGCCCGTCTCTCTCCCACGTCCCCGAGGCCAGCGCGCCTTGCCAAGTGTCAGTACGATGTCATTGGCACTGACAAAATTCCCGAGTATCATGAGTCTTGGGTGGATGTTGAGAACGGTCGACGTGTCCATCACGAAATCATTGGCAAGCAACACCATGCCGCCCTTACTTTGTGAGTGGTCTGCTACTTTCAAGTCCTATGGAGCAGCTTACTGAGAATCAAAAACAAGGTCCGAGTTCGACACATTGGTAGACGTGTGTAAGGCATCGCCCGAATTTCAAAAAGCCGTTGCCGAATTCAATATTCCTGAAGGATTCGAAGTTGTTGTGGAACCATGGCCATACGGCGGACTAGACCTGGAGGATGAAAACCGCCGCTACTTTCAAGGGTTAATATTTGCCCAGGACACACGTAGCGGGAATCCCGACTCCAACTTCTATGCCTATCCCTTTCCTCTGATTCCCATTATGGATGCACACAACCGCGAGATTATTCGTATCGACAGGCTCGCAACTGGCGGCAAGGGTGACAGTATTACCGGCAAGACGCACAACAAAGCCGTTATCGACCATTGCACTACCTCGGAATACGTACCAGAGCTCCTTCCCAATGGCACTAGGAAAGACCTCAAGGCACTGAATGTTGTGCAACCAGACGGGCCATCCTTCAAAGTCAGCAACGAGTCCTTGGTTGAATGGCAGAAGTGGCGCTTCAGAGTCTCTTTCAACCCCCGGGAGGGCGCAGTACTTCATGACGTCCACTACGATGGCCGGAGTGTTTTGTACCGTATGAGCATCAGCGAAATGACGGTGCCCTATGCGGATGCTGTAAGTTGTTCTCTATGAAACTTACATTTCGCAATTGCCATTAACAGTTCTGTACAGCGGCCTCCATTCCAAAGGAAGCAGGCTTTTGATTTTGGCGATGGCGGCGCCGGTAATTGCGCCAACAACCTTGCGTTAGGATGCGATTGTCTAGGTGTGATAAAGGTCAGTGAACCAATACAGCGTTTCCATAATAACATTCAACTAATAGAGGCGGAATAGTATTTTGATGGAGTTATCGTCGAAGCAGATGGTGAAGCCAAGGTTCTTCCCAATGTCATCTGCCTGCACGAACAGGACAATGGCATCGGGTGGAAGCACACTAACTGGCGTACCGGGCGTGCCGTGGTTGTCCGCAGCCGCGAGCTCGTAGTCCAGTTCATCATTACGCTCGCCAACTATGAGTATGTCTTTGCCTACAAGCTTGACCAGGCTGGAGGTATTACACTAGAGGTCCGCGCCACCGGCATTGTTAGTGTCGTCAACATCGACCCTGGAAAAACGAGTGACTATGGCAACGTTGTCAATCCTGGAGCACTTGCACAGAATCACCAACACATCTTCTGTGCACGAATCGATCCTGCTATTGACGGTCATGAGAACACCGTCATTCAAGAAGAATCTCATAGCGTTCCCATGAACCCAACCACAAATCCACGGGGCAACTTTTACGAAGTCCGCCAAACTCCCATCAAGCAGTCCACGTGGGCAGATGCAGCTCCACAACACAACCGTATCTTCAAGATTGTTAACCCATCCAAGACGAACCGCATCAGCGGCAAGCCCGTCGGTTACAAATTCACGCCTCCGGCAACGCAGCTACTCCTCGCAGACCCGAACTCCGTGCAGAGCCAGCGCGCCGCCTTTGCTCAGCACCATGTATGGGTCTCAAAGTACAAGGACGACGAGCTTTACGCGGGTGGCCGCTTCACCATGCAAAGCAGGAAAGAGGTGGATGGCGTCGCAGATGCAGTGGCGCGAAATGATGACGTTGAGAATAACGACGTGGTCGTGTGGTCTGTATTTGGCCTCACCCATAACCCAAGAGTCGAGGACTGGCCCGTTATGCCTGCCGATATCTTCCAGGTTATGATACGCCCGGCGGACTTCTTCGAAGCAAATCCAAGCATTGACGTTCCTAGCAACAAGAACTTGTCCAGCATAGAAGTACAAAAGTCCGAGAAGGCATCTTGCTGTGGCATGCAGAAGCTGTAGGCGTTGACACAAATCATTGAGGCTATTCGAAGGAAATCCTAAGGTACAGCAAAAGAGTTGTTCAACTTGCTGTGAAGGAGCGGCTAGACTGTTAGACCACCAGGAATTTGCATTTTCATCTCCCATATTTTTTCATTTCATGGGCCACTAGTTCAAATACTGGAAAACTTCCCCTACGCCAAAGAATACAAGTAACCTTGGAGACTAGGATTGAGTGCGAGGGACATCCGACTAAAATGAATGCAACATAAATGCATACATTAACACTCCTTTCAAACCATTCTTTTCCACTAAAGTGGTTGCCTATAGGCCTTTCGAGTCAAGTCCAGTCCCGACATTGAACACTGATGGCTACTATCCCACTGAACAGCCTGTCTCCCGCTTAAAGTGCCATTATGCCTCCAAAGCCTACAAACTAAAGCTCCTCTTCCCGCCTTCCGCCATCCATCCCGCAACCTCGGGCATGCACCGCGCGGAACGATTCCGCGCCGAGCCACGTCCTGCTCAGCCCGAGGTCCAAGGCCCAAGCTCTCTGGCGCAGCCAATCGGAGGGACAAGCGGCGGCGTTGGTTCGGTAGCTTAAATGAACATGGGCGTCGGGCAGGGCGGTGCACTGCGGATTACGTGCCGGCATGTATGTACTTGCTGTATGTAATCCGTACATGGGGGGTGTGTGGGCTGTGGGCGCGCCCTATCTCGGAGATTGGTGCGCGGTGGGCCGGTTGGCTGGGCTGGGCTGGGCTGGGCGCGCCTCACCACTGCATATGGCTGACGCCTGGCGGCCGCGTTCCGTCGTTCCCCGCAAAAGGGCTGTTGCTGGCGGGGTGGTGTGTGGGGGCGAGGTTGGGTTGCTGTGATTGGGTTGTCGTGGCCGGATTGTGCCTAAATGGCGTTGGGCCCATTGGGCAGCTTCGTGAATGCTTTTTGTTTTTTTGTTTTTATTTTATTTTTATATTTTTATTTTATTTTTGTTTTGTTTGCTTGTGTTGGTGTGAGGCTTTCGAATTGGACGGCAAAGTCCGTGTCTTTGGAAGAATGGGAGTCGGTGCGGATCTAGATGGGATGATGGCGCAGGTTTACATTCCTCGAGTAAAGCTTGAAGCGGCCACGAATACATAGTACTATCCAAGTTTCTGTGCGCTCTCGCTCCGTCCGAGACCAGATTAGGGCCAATCGGGCAAGTATGTTCACCACGTCAAAGGTTCCGTAGTCTCGGGAAAAGCCTGAGAAGGCTGCATTTTAAGGAGCACGAGAGCCAGGTCATACACAGCTAGACCAAGTTTCTCCGCAACTGACCAAGCTATATCGGCTCGCACACTTGCTATCTACCCCATCTGCCTATCTACTTATCAACATTACTGTTGGTTTCTGCCATTGTCAGTGCCTATCTGACCCACACACGACGTTTTGTTCCGTCGGTGCCGCGGCTTCTCGTATCACTTCCGCTCTGGCGACCCGAGTATCTATCTCACCGGAGAGAGAGACAGGATAGGATAAATCATAAGAAAAAGCAATATCCTCGCAGTGTGCCTTGACAGTACAGTCGAAATACCGCATTTATTTTTTCTTCTTACTCGCTGCCCAGACCCACCTATCCGCCTCACTGCCATATTGAAGGATTCCCAAGAAGCCAGAAACGCAGTCGGCACCAACAACCATGACCACACCTGATACCAAGGTCCTGGACAAGGTCGCAACCAATGTGTCCACGGCAAAGCCGGATATCGAGCTAGGCGAGCTGGTTCCTCAGACCACGGACACAGTGGAGCTAGCGGCCCTGGGCCATGTACAAGAGCTGCGACGCGAGTTCTCCGTCTGGTCGCTTGGATGCTTGCTTGTGTGCCTGATGGCGACATGGGAGGCGCTCTCAAGCGTCGTTGCGCAAGCACTGACGAACGGAGGTCCACCTTGGTGAGTGGTGATGTTACATTGCGCAACCGATTGATCACTTGGTCGATTTGCCTCATACTGTTTGGGAAAGGGGAAGGGGAAGTAATGCTGACCTACGTGTTGCGTAGCTTGTTCTACAACTACATCATCGCCTTCTTCGGCACGCTGTTGACAGCCTGCTCCTTGGCCGAGATAGCGAGTGTTTACCCCACGGCGGGAGGCCAGTATCATTGGGTGGCATGCCTTTCACCTGCGCCTACGCGTGTCGTCTCCTCGTGGTTCACCGGATGGATCAGCATCGGCGGACAGCTAGTGTTGACAGCGTCGGCTGCGTTTGCGGCGGGCTTGCAGCTGCAGGCACTGATAGTGCTGAATGACGAGGACGGCAGCTATGTGCCGCAGCGATGGCAAGGGATGCTCTTCTACTGGCTGATTCTGGGGTACAGCGCGGCAGTGAATGTTTGGGGAAGCCGGATCCTGCCGCACACCAACACGGCAAGTGGGGTGTTGCATGCAGCGGCATTTGTGGCGACGGTGGTGGTGCTGGGAGTGATGCGAAAGGACAAGCATGATGCCGAGTATGTGTTTGCGGGCTTCCAGAACACGAGTGGGTGGGGAAACGACGGAGTGAGTTGGCTGGTCGGGCTGCTGAGCGCCGTGTATCCGTTTCTGGGGTAGGCAAGTGCGAGTGACCGGATTGTCCCTTCCATGCTAACTCCGGGGCAGGTACGATGCGGCCGCGCACCTTGCCGAGGAGCTTCCTCATCCGGCCAAGTATGTCCCTTTGGCCATGGTCGGCTCCGTCCTCGTCAATGGCTTGATCGGTCTCATCTACTGCATCGTCCTGCTCTTCTCCTTGGGCGACCTGTCGACTCTTCTTGCCTCGCCCACCGGCTTCCCCTTTATGCAGCTCTTCTGGGATGTGACCAAGTCTAGAGCTGGCGGGTCAATCCTTTCTCTGATGGTATCGCTCATTGCCGTGGCCGCCAACGCCGCCGGCTTGACCAGCACTAGTCGGACTGCCTGGGCGTTTGCGCGTGACAAGGCAATCCCCTTTAGTAGCTTTTTCGCCCACGTCAATCCGCGCTTGCAAGTGCCAGTCCGCATGGTGGTATGCACCACTGTCTTGCAGATGCTGCTGGGCTTCATCTACCTGGGCAACACGACGGCCTTCAACGCGATCCTGTCCATGGCCGTCTTGGGCATGTATACTAGCTACATTCTACCCATTGTGTACATGCTACTGTTCGGGCGGCGCGCGTCGTCGCCACAGCGTGTTCACTTTGGGCCGTTCTCCATGGGTCGCTGGGGTGCCGCCGTCAATGCTGGCGCTTGTTTGTGGCTCTTGTTGGCCATTGTGTTCAGCATGTTCCCTAGCTATCAGCCAGTGACAGCGCAGAATATGAACTACAGTACGGTGGTGTTGTCTGGGTGGGTAGCGTTTGGGGCAGTGTGCTATGTTGGCTGGGCGAGGCGAGTGTATTCAGGGCCGGTGTATGCGACGGAGGGCGTGGATCGGTAGGATGCCATGGTAGCATCTGGGGAGAGCTAGGTGGGAATGGATGACGTGCATGTTTCTGGATTTGGTGGAAGGGTGCGTAAGCGGGCGGGATGAGACCCAATTGGAAGGGACGGATTGGGAGAAAAGACTGCCATTTTCCATTGTGGCGGCGTCAGGGAGAAATTGGAAAGTGTGGAGCCCTGGTGAGTGAGGCGATGTAAGGCTGAGAATGGGACGATGTGGAAGTGGAAGAGCGATCCGGGCCGAGCCGGACTTGGGAAAGGTTTCAGACGAGCGGTGAGGCTCTGATGCCGTAGCAGGAGCATTTGTCTTGGAGTGCATGCAGGCTAGTGATATGTAGGCAGCTGAGCCGGGCCGGCGGGAAGAGACCGAGAGCCCGTCACGGCTGCATCGGGGCAAGCGGGAGGGAGGGGAACCGGGTTGCGGGGAACAGACGAGACCGGGTGCCAGGTTGGCGGGGGGTTAACAAGCGAAAGCCCAGTGGTCCGGGTAGCGCCCTCGTTACACTCAGATTAGGCTGCATCCGGATCGGTGCCACGGCGACACAGGATGCGTCGTGGCGCCTCCCGAAACCCGTCTGCGCGTCATTCGCATCCCTTGCCCGCCTCGCGAGCCCGCCCACGTACCAAGTCCCCCAGGCGCGCAATCGCAGGGGGACACGTGAGATGAAAGAGGCGCCGTGCATGCGAACGCTTTTGTTCTTCCCTCAACGGCAATGTGACACGTCCGCTCCTTTGGCTCCATGGCCGCGGCCGCGGGCCATCCAGCCCTGCCTTGCCCAAACCATTCTTTTTTGCTCTGATATACCGTAGCCCTCGCCCATCGTGTGACCCAGGTGTACCTGTTGCTCCTTCTGGCCGCTGCCTATCCGCTTTCGACCTCCCGCCAGCATTCCTGGAGCGCAAAGAGTCTGGCAGCACGGCCGCTTGCTGCCCACGGTTGTACTTGCAACTGTGGAGATACTTCGAAGCAACGCTGGAGCCACGCCCATCCACACTGGCCAGCCCAGGAATATAAGAAGAGCCCGACGACCCGTCTCCTGGAGATGCACATCATCAAGGCAGATCTGTCCCGAGCAGCCTCTCTCTCGCTTCTCTCTCCCTCCCTCTGGACAAGCCGCCGTCGACGCCTAGCACCATCACTGCCGCCGCCACCACCACCACACAGTGAGTGAAGCAGCCCGCGGCGTGCTAGCTACTACGCCGACGCTGACCCCCGACGCTGCAGACACTCGGCGCCCACCCTCTCGTCGTCGCCATGGCCGTCCCCGGAAGCTGCGCGCACTCGTTCAAGATGATCAAGTCGGACAATTCGCTGCTGCTCTGGAACTGCAACATGTGCCATTCGGGGCCGCACTGGTTCATCTTCGAGTGCCAGCGCTGCAAGCTCAAGACGTGCCGGCCCTGCACGACCAAGGCGGCATGAGACAGGGTAAGGGTTCCTGCAATCTTGCGAGACGGGCGAGGTTGGTGTTGACGTCGACCCTCAGACCTCAGCGAAACCCCGGCATCCGGTCGAGGGCGCGGCGCGATCTGCGACCTCGCATCGACCAGGCAGGGGTGCCGATCTCGACCAGATCCTCCAACATCAACACCATCCGTCGGTGAAAAAAAAGCAAAAGGGTTGAAATTTCAGTCTTAGTCTCTCGGCGCACGATATCCTAGACGGGGGGATTGGACCATACGGTGTACGGACGGCTTGGGGAGTTTTGGCGTGGCTTGCATGATTCCTCCGTTTCTGGCCAGCCCGCCCTGTACCACCTTGCTTTTGGCCTTTCGCCTTTTTTTTCTTTTTTTTTTTTTTCTTCTTCTTCTACTTAAGTTCCCAATCAACATTTCTTTTGCGCCAGGCTTCCCCGACGCTGCTGCCTCTCTCTTCGTAATAAATACCTAATGGATGCATCTCTTTTCCACTCCCTTCTGGCCCCCGCCCGACCTTTTCCCGACGTCATCGACGGTCGATCTGCGACATGAAACAAACATCGTCCATCGCCTGGCCGAGCGACGGCCGAGTCGCACCAGTCGACTTCCTCTTTGATCTCGTTGCTGCACACCGCACTTCTGATGCAACGCCTGCTGACAGATTCATGACAGCAATCAAGTGACCTGCACGCCGCCGCCTCTACGCGCCCTTCTGGGCCGTCCTGCTGCGAACGCGATGCTCCTTCGGGGCCCGTGTGCGACGCAAGGCTGATGGACGGGCGATGCTGCAGATCGCAGTGCGTGCGGGATCGACACTCGGTGGTCTTGAGGGACCTCATAAGGCCCTCCCTCCTCTGGAGCCTGGTTGCGGGGAAATGCCGCGCTGTGCTCAGTCTTCTTCCATCGCGCCATCTCTCGGATCCGCGGCCGCGCGCGCACCGCGTCGCCACTGCCTGGGGTATTCAAATCAGGGGGACCTCTTTCCGGACCATATCACCATTCCGACCAGCTTGCCGGAAACACGCTCACAATTTCAATGTGAAACCCAGCACAAGCAAAGACAGTGGCTTGTATCTATCGTATTCCCCGAGTAAGTTGTCATCACAAAAAGCCCCACAACGGAGATAGAGGAGGCTTGGTCGACGTTGAGGCGTCCACGGCTGGTCTGGCTAAGTAAAGATTTCTTTCCCGATATCCGACACGTGACTCGGCTCGTGGGGTCTCGTCGTTGGCACTGTGGATCGTGCAACGGCGATCGGCAAGGTTGTGGATGCAGGTGGAGGCTGAGAAGCTGGGGTTTGCCGACGGAGATTCTGGAAGACGAGGATTGGGGCTTGAAAGAAAAAGGCACGCGACCAGAAGTAGAGAGGTCCGGCGGCGCAAGAAACGAATCACGAGGCTCTAGGGCCAACTGGAATGGAGGTGACACCTGGATTTTGATATTGATGTTGTTGTACATACGTGACCATCGTTACCCAAAACTCGACCGAACCTATATCCAAGACGCCAGCTAAGCAAACATCTCAAGCCAAATCGTCATACTTTCATGCACATGCCAGAATCAGCATCTAGGCTCAAGCACCCTGCCGCGCCTTCTCGGCACAAATAAGAGCAATGATGCGACTAAGCTCGGCGCTCTGGGCAAATTGCTCCTTCTTGGTCGCCTCGTCGATGTTTTCGTTCTTGGCCAGGTCGCTGCCGACCTGGAGCATGCGGTTTTGCAGCTCCAGCATCTTGCCCAAGGTGTTGTCCAGGAAGGGCGCCGAAAAGGCTACGTCATTCTGGCCGTTGTTGGGCAGACGGATCTCGAGCTTGCGCGGCTGCTTCTTGCTGGGCAGCTTGGCGAGGAGCTCCTCGAGGTTGTTGTAGTCGGGCGCCTGCGCGGGTTGGGGCCTGCGAGGGAGGTGTGTTAGCAGGGATGGGAGTCGTTTGTGGATGAAGATAGTGCGCTTACTTGGGGCGCTCGACGAAGGTGTAGTTTTCTGCCAACTCGGCGACGCGGTTGGCAATGCGGCCGGCCATGATCTCATAGGCCGAGGGCGACGACCTCGCCACAGCTGGGGCGGCCGACTTTGCTGTCGACTTGCGGAGGCCGTTGGGCTGCTTCTTCTGGGTTTGCGCGGCGGGCATTTTGGTGTGGGTGGAGGTATGTTGTGGTGATGGTAGAATTTAGAGTTTGACGTGGAGAGGAGCGGTAGGTTACGGGGAATTATGGGCAGAAGCAGGAATTGGGAAGAAGAGTAGGTACGTGGTACGGAGTAGGTAGGGTACGTATTTGAGCATCGAGGCTCGAGAGGCGAGTGGCTTTCGCGGGGAGAGTGGGCCGGCTCGGACTTCGACCCTGTTTGCTTCCCTGACACATGGCGTCATTGTGCGACTGCGTGCGCCACAGCCATCCTTGCTCTTTGCCCGGCTCACCTTAACTGCACACCATCCGCTCTCGACCGCGACGCCGCCGTTATCATGAAGTCTCTGGGCGCGCCTTAACGTCATTACACTAAAACACCGTCGCCGTCGTCGTCTCGTCCACCATCCACCATGCCGCCGCCGAAGAGCGACGCCGGCATTGGCGCTGGCTTCAACCTCAAGTCTCCCAGCATCGACCCACATCCATCCGGCCCGCCGCAACATGGCCAGCTGGGCCAGGCCGAGCGCGGCATGTCCGTCGCCTCGACCTTTTTGTCCGGTGTTCTGGCGTAAGTATCCGCCCGAGATTGCGACCCGGAGAGGCGCTCATGTGTCGCATACAGTATCAATGCCGCCCAGTTCATTGGCCTCCCCTTCAAGATGATTGATCCCAAATTTTACAACGAGTACATTGCCTTTACCAAGCAGTCCTTTGCCGTTTTGATTGCCACTTTGACCCAAATCTGGTCCCCCACCAAGGTCCATGTCAGTGGAGACAAGAGCTTGCCAGGCCAGCTCGCCTTAAAACCCGATGGTAGCCTGGAGTGCAAGTTTCCGTCGCGCGTTGTTCTGATGGCCAACCACCAGGTAAGTGTGCGTAGTTGCCAATCTGGAACCCCCCACTGACTCCACAAGCTCTACACAGACTGGCTCTACTTGTGGTGGATTGCCTACACCAACAAGATGGCTGGTCATGTCTACATCATCCTCAAGGAGTCCCTCAAAAACATCCCACTTATTGGCTGGGGTGCGCAGTTTTACAACTTCATCTTCCTTGCTCGGAACTGGGAAAAGGACAAACCCCGCTTCCAGGAGCATTTGCAGGAGCTCAACAAACCCAAGGATCCCATGTGGTTAATCATCTTTCCGGAGGGTACCAATCTTTCGGCCTCAACGCGGGAGTCCAGCAGGAGGTGGGCGGAGAAAAATGGCATCCAAGACTTGCGCCATCAACTGTTACCTCGGAGTACAGGACTCCGCTTTTGCCTGCAGAATTTGAAGGATACGACGGAATGGTTGTATGACTGCACGATTGGCTATGAAGGAATACCGTAAGTACAGAGTTGTGCATATCTGAATGCATTCTGACACATTTAGGTACGGTGCTTACGGCCAGGACGTTTTCACACTCCAATCATCTTTCCTCGAGGGTCGCCCTCCAAAGTCGGTCAACATGCACTGGCGCAGATTCCGAATCTCCCAGATCCCGATAGAGGACCCTCAAGCTTTCGAAGTCTGGCTCCGGAATCGTTGGAAGGAGAAGGATCATTATCTCGATTACTTTGCGCGTACTGGCCGGTTTCCTGCCGAAGATCCGTGGAAAGCTAAAGATGTGAAAAACATCAAACCGGCCAAGTCGCTCGAGGCACAGGTCAAATCTGGGAGCTGGGGCGAGTTTCTCGCCATCTTTGCGCCTATTTCGGCGTTTTTGACGGTATTATTCCTCTTTTACAGCGGATCTGTAGGATCGTTGTTAGACCCCGGTTCTAACAGGTCTCGGAAAATCCAGGCTCAGGAAGAGGGCCAGTTACAAGATGGCGGCCTACCGGAATCATTAGCCAAGAAGGCGCTGAAGAATGCCAGAGCCGCTGCCGGCTCCGAGGCCTCTGGCACTTCCGCCGGAAAACCACAATACGGCGAGTGGGACGCCATTCGGAAAGCGCTCGAAGAAAAAGGGGCGAAAAACTTAGGGTCGTTTGCACCAAAAGCTCCCAGTACTGCAGACGACGTATCCGGTCATCGCTCGTTCTCCCAGCCAGGTACAAGACGAGCGCCGTCAACGTCAGGACCCAGCTCAGGGGATGTCAAGCAACCACTCAAGGTCGATATGTCGAATGATGCACTGAAGGCACTTCTAGCGAAGCATTTAGGAAAGGCAGAAAACAGCAAACAGTTGGCACAGCAAACGATCAAACTGGCAAACGGTCAAGTCATTAAGGCCAATGCGCCAGAGACAACCGCTGTACACAAGCCGGCTTCGCCTTCTCCGGTGAAACTGGCCAACGGACTTGTCATCGGCTCAAATGCAAAAGAGAGCAAACCGTCTTCGCCGGGCCCAGTCAGGTTAGCAAACGGGCTAACCGTAGGCCAGGGCTCGCCGCCTCCCACAAAAACATCATCTCCAGCTTCGCCGAAACCTTTGAAGAAAACCATGGGGTCGATACCAGAGCGGAACAAAGCACCTCTCAAGACACCCAGCAAGCCCTTACAATCAACACAGCTATCACCAGCGACGAAGGCGTCGGCTGCGACTACCTCGACGCCTTCCCTCACCACGGCGCCGACGCGTTCGGTCACCAGCGCGGCAACACCGGCCAAAAAACCGGCCAAACTTGCAACGAAGGCGCCGGCTTCACCCGCGCCGAAGGCTCAGGCAGCGAACAAGCCGGCGCCAGCGCCAGCACCCAAAGCCGTACCTAAAGCTGATGCTAAGCCGGCGCCTTCGCCCGCAAAAGCAGCGCCGAAATCGACGAGTAATCAGAAGACGGTTCCAGGAGGAAAGTGGGGCCAGGGAAAGTCTGAAGGCGGCACGGGGCTCGGGAGGACTATCCCTCTGAGCGTGCAAGAAACGAACCGGGGGTCGAAGGAGAAGGCTGCGCCTAGGAAGATGGATGCTGTGCAGGCGAGAAAGGCGGCGAATTCGAAGTAGTATCTAGTAATAGGAGGAGGAGGAGGAGGATGGAGATTGACCATTATACCCGTTAAAAATAGTATGGAGTATGTATGCATGAATGAATGCTGAAGTGAATATCATCGAAGGATGTTAGGGCGATCTAGAAGGCGCGATCGGCGAGGTCAAAGGCAGGGATGGTGGCACCAGCCACATGCGGGCTGACATCACCCCCGTATCTTCCATGGAAGTGGCGAGGGCGAGTTCGCTCCTGCCGCCTGCGTGTCTGCTTCCCCGACACCCCGGATTTGTCGCCTGACGCAATTAGTCCAACGTCGTCCCTCCTTGATCTGCTGCTGGCCCATACGCTTTCGCCATGCTCTTGCCTTGATATACCCTCTGATTCTTCGTCTTTTTCCCGCCTCACTGCTGCAGTAATAACCATGGCTTCTTTCCTGCAAAACTACGCTACGGGCATTATCCAGAATGCCGCGACCGGTGCCGCAACCTATGCCATCACGACAGGCGGCCGCGTCGTTGGCGACGTCGTCATCAGCGCCGGCGACCTGATCGAAGGCGGTGGCCGAAAGGTCGGTGACAGTAAGTAGCCTCACTCTCCATGTTCTTTTGCCAACGCATTGCTGACGCACCCTCCCCCTTGCCGCATCAGACATCGAAGGTTACATCGATCGCTACGGTAACTGGATCCGCTCCTACGGCGATGGCATGATCACCTCCACGGCCGCTTCGTCCGGCGGCCCGGCCCTCAAGGCCCTACCCGCCAGCACGGGCGGGCCCAAGCGCCCCGGCTTGAAGAAAACGGCTTCCGATTCGAAAGCACTGCCCTCGACCGGCGCGAAGAAGGCTCTGCCCTCGGCTGGCGCGAAGAAGGCCCTGCCTGGCCCTCGCCCCATGAAGGCTCTCCCTGCCCCGCCTGGCGCGGGCGCTGCAACCAAGAAAGCCAAGGACACCGTCGGCGGCGCCGCTGGCGCAGCTAAGAAAACAATCCCTTACATTTCGCCCTCGCCCGTCTCGGCGCCAAAGCCGAACAAGAAGACCACGGCCAAGCCGCCTGGACCACCGTCCGTCGTTAGCGGTCCGCCCTCGGTCAAGGGTCCCGAGTCTGTGGCGGGCGGAGATGATGCGAAGCCGAACAAGCGTCGCGATAAGAGGCTTGCGGAGCGCAGGGCCAAGGAGGCTGAGGACAAGGGCCAGGCTCCTGGCGGCTCAGGCGCGAACAAGCCGAGTTTCGGTGCCCCCGCGGGCGGTAATACGAACACGAAGGGCCCTGGAGGGCCGCAGAGCAAGACGATGCCGAGCGGCAAGGTTCGTGTTAACCCGGAGTCGCGGCCGCGGGCGACGGTGTCTGGCAAGGTGGGCGGAGGCGAAAAGAAGAATGGAAAGGACAAAAAGGAGGGAATTGCTAGCAAAACCCCTGCCAATTACGGGAAGATGGTCGATGGCAAATACGACTTCTTCGCAATGCGGTCGGATGCTGGATCACAGCGGGGAGCGGGTTCAGTCGCTGGCGGCTCGGTAGCTGGAGGAAGCAAGGGCAAGGGCAAGGGCAAGAAGGAGGATGCGAATACCCCCAAGTATGGGCAGTTCTTCTAGAGGAAGCGGGAAGGAAGTATGGGAAGAAAGAAGAGGGAACGAGTGAAGTGTGGTTGGTTGTCATGTGAGTATGAAGTCATGATGGTCTCCTTTGGGTTCTGTTCTGTTCTTTCCATGTTTAGGTAAAAAAACATGGAAATTGGGCGTTGGAAAAATCAATGAAATACGAATTGTATGGATGAACAACATCATCGTTCATCATCGCTACCTATCAACAACCACTATTGTCACCGTCAACTATGCCGCAACGATCGCCATTACCAGAATCAATACTGTCCTCACGTCTCTTAACATTCATCACCAGCGTAAACACGTCCATCATCATCGTCATTATCAGCATTATCAAATTCAGCCTCGGGAGCTTCTGGCGTAGGTAAGAGTACGATCAAGCCGTGGTTTATTTCTGTATTTTGCGATTTTGATGATAATCATCTTACCATTACTAACTATCTATCGGAAACGGTCTTGTTACCGAATCTACATGTATCTGTGAGGAAGCAAGGAAAATAAAATATATAGATTATAGGAGTACGAATGGAAAAAGGTAATAGCATATAGCTCGTAGCCTCTTAACACACGAATAAACTAACGCGTTAACGAGTCATATCCGTCCTATAAAGCGAGGCGTATACATGCTAAGAGTTGAACGTAGAGGTAAGGGTTTAGGTTTGGGTGAAGATTGGTATAGGATAGGATAGAATTTTGAAGTTGATGGGATAGAAGTCAAAGAATACTCGTAGGTAAAGGTACGACATGCTATAAGTTAGTTTACTCGTTAGGTTGAGAACGGGCTTCTTTGTTTAGCAGAACTGCCTACGGTATTCTGATAGTTTTCTTTTTTTT